CATGTGTTCCCGACGCAAAGAAMTCGTCGTCGTCGCTGGATGTGCTGTCGAATAAGAAGTCACCCTCGTCCCAACGCATGCGGGCCCTGCGAATGCCACCATCCGTCCACTGTCGCCGAGTCCGAGGAGCGGAACCCGCATCGCCACGTGTACGTCCTCCGACACCTGCTCGTCCACGGCCGCCATGTCCCCGACCACCAGCCCTGCGTCGCCCCCTGTCCGACTCCGCCACCCGACGCTCGGCTCCCACGCGGGAAATGGCGCGCATCCTCTCTCTCGCGAGGCTCAACTCCTCCTCGGTCACCTTCGCCAGAACACCGGTGCCTCTGACGAGCTGTTGGTCCACAACTGCCTCATCCTCCACGGCCTTCCAATAATGCACCCATTTCCCGAAGACGCCGGGCCTCTCTCCAACACCATCGTCGCACAATGAAGGTCGATCGAGTAGCCTGAGGTTCAAGTGGCACCCCACAAGCTTCTCAGCCCGGGGAACCTCTAATCTGTTGCGAGACTTCGAATGAATGAAGCTCCAACGAGACCACGCTCTCTCGCACGGTGAGACGGTCGCCCACATACGAAGGATCCTGCCTGCAAACACGGCTTTGTGAGGGAACTTCGCCTTCTTTGAGGACCAAAAACTGGCAGGGTGATCAAAGATATCCGCAGCTCGCCGCATGGTGAGCTCATCGAAAGGGGGCTCCCTCGTGTGGAGATTGGCGACTGCTCGTTGGACCTCCCGGTGCTGCGGCGAATCCTCCGGGTAGCCGAACTGGACAAGGGCCTCGACCAAGGCCTGCTGCACCTCCGCATCGTCACAAAGCGTCGCATCCCGGAACTCTGGATCTAGCAGCATGGCTGCCGTGTGGGCGGGGGTCTTGAACATGGTGCGCCGCCTGTGGAACACCTCCACAATAGCGTCCTGCTGCTCCCGATCAATGTCACGACATGCGGATAAACAAGATGCAATCATTTCCTCGTAACGTCGCAGAATCTTGCTGATCTGGCGTGTGTCGCTGTCCACCAACTTCAGCATGCCCATGACGGGCTCTAGCATCTTGCACAGAGCTCTCAAATCCTCCCACCATGGAGGGGAGCCGATACATGCAGTGACCTCCGCTGCATCCTTGCGGATCTTGCTGGTCGACCAAACAGTCTCGCGCCAGCGATCGTCGGCCACATCTGTCAACGCGGCCCTCAGTGCCACCAGCCTCTCTATCATGATGACGTTCGTGCCGAAACGCGTCTCCGCCGGTAACAGAAGAGTCTTCGTCGAGTGCGCCTCAAGAACCTCTCTCGCATGTCTATGGCGCTTGAAGAACCTTGTAACCAGCCTCGCTTGAGAAATGCGGG